AAAAACTCGTTGAAGAATTCCCCGTCTTGCTCCTATTGTGTTCTTGACTCCTTAGGTCGAATCATCGGTCTCCTTAGCCTCCTTTGGTCTAATTTTTATGTCAAAAGTGTGTCCCACCCTTAAAAATACCGTTTTTCCATGTATATATACTAAGTAGGGTCGGGCCCAAACAATTATACCTTCTCTTACGTGAAAAAGGACAATATTTCACGTCTGGACTGCCACGACCGCGGTCAAACGCGGTCAACCGCGATATATGGCAGGTATACTGCCTCAGCTCCGCGATCGCGGTTTCGACCATGCTTTTCTCCCTGTTCCGTTTGGAATTTGAAAAAGTATAAAACATAAAAGTTGTAATACTTTAAGTTAGCTTTCCAACCATATATTGTGGATCCCAAATGGAGTTCTGAGCAAAATGTTATGTGCATTCTACTAGACAGTATGCAATATGCCTACTCGAGTCTTTGTTTTGTTGCTTTATCATCCGTTGATCCCCGAGTACGATCTCGGCTTAATTCTTTGGGATTTTACTCAGACTTAAAAGTTTTAAATCACTTGAATTCATTCCATAATATCTATATAGCTCGAAATCACTCCTACAAGGCATAAAACACACCGTTAGTGCAAAACACTAGCGATTAAAGCGCAAACTCAGCTAAAATGCGGTAAATTAGAGTGTAATAATCGACTAAAATATGCAATTATAGCCTATCATCAGTTACACTCAACAGGTAGGCATAGACTATACAGAAACCTTTTCACCAGTTGTAAAAATGACAACAGTCAGGGCCTTAATAGCTACTGCGGTTAAGAAGGGCTGGTCCATCTCACAGTTGGATGTGAATAATGCTTTCCTCCATGGGGATCTCAATGAAGACGTATATATGCAGGTACCACCTAAGTTAGTAATAGACAAACCAGGTTTAGTCTGCAAACTGAACAAGTCTCTCTATGGTCTGAAGCAAGCAAGTAGACAATGGTATGCAAAACTGACTGAGGTACTATGATCAAGGGGCTACACACATTCCATGTATGACTATTCACTCTTCTATAAAAGGAATGGAAATACATCAGTATATGTTGCTGTATATGTAGATAATGTGTTATTGACTGGAACTGATCAACAAGAGATTGCACAGCTCAAGAGCTTCCTACATGAGCAGTTCAAGATCAAAGATCTAGGACATCTTCATTATTTCCTGGGGCTGGAAGTTATGTATAAGGATGATGGGGCCATTATATCACAAAGAAAATTTGTGTTGGATCTGCTGAAGGAGTACAATTGTCTCGAACACAAGGCTTGCTCTTCACTTTTGGACCCTACTATAAAACTAAAAGCCAAGGAAGGGACAATACTGCAGGATCCCACTTACTATAGGAAATTAGTAGGCAAACTAAATTTCCTAACCAACACCAGATTGGACATAGCATATAGTGTTCAACACTTTAGCCAGTTTAGGTAGGAGCCTAGAGAACCTCACCTGAATGCAGCATTTCACTTATTAAGATACCTAAAGAATGATCCTACCTTGAGAATTTTCATGTCAAATGATGGGGACCATACAATCAAAGCGTATTGTGAGTCTGATTGGGCAGCCTGCCCAGACTCTAGGAGGTCCATCACAGACTACCTAGTTTTGTTGGGTAACCGTCCTATTAGTTGGAAGTCTAAGAAGCAAGAGACCATATCTCTTTCTTCTGCAAAAGCAGAATATAGAGCCTTGAAGAAGGTTGTGGAAGAGCTGGTATGGTTATGCACACTATTCGAAGAATTGACTGTTCCTTTTTCCCTGCCCATTTCAGTCTTCTGTGATAGCCAGTCTGCCTTGCATATTGCAAGGAATTCAGTATTCCACGAGAGGACCAAGCATATAGATTGTCATTTTGTGCGTGATCAACTACAAGCAGGCTTGATCTCTCTCCATCATATCAGAACAGACAACCAGCTCGCGAATATCCTAACTAAAGACTTGACATGAATCAAACACAGTGCTACATTAGGCAAGTTGGTTGTGTTTGCTACACCTCCAACTTGAGAGGGGTGTTAAGAACTAATTATTTGTATTGATCAGTTAGTTAGGAGTTAGTGGAGTCACTAGTTAGTTAGAAATTACAGCTGTTCCAATCAGCTAGGTAGTTAGCAAGTTAGTTAGTGGTTAGCCGACTTAGTTGTAACTTAGTTGTACAATTGTATATAGTGGAGGTTCCACTCATTTTTCTTTTCTCAATCAATTCAATTACGAAGTTCTGGAATCTTCTCTCATCTTCTTCCTCTCTCTCTTTGTGCTCTCATGGCGTGAAGATCATAGCTGCATCACCATTAAAGCTCAACTTTAAGTTGCAGCAGAGCTTCAACTACTGTTCTATTGGCTAATTCTGATATTAGCAACCCATATTTGACATTAATTTGAGAGGGGGAAGCAAAATCGGAATTGGATAGAGATTCTTGTTAACAAATAACAACTTAACATATTCTTGTCATGAATTACTATGTAATTACACGGTTCTGGAAAAATATGTTTCACAATAAGAGCTCATTCGCTTTTATCAAAAAAGAAAAGGAAGAATTTATTCGCTTTGTCAGACTCATTTTTAAATTGGCATGTGAACATTTAATTGAACAACTACGAATTTGAGAAAATGAAAACTAGATTAAAGTAAATAAGTAAATAATTTTAACACAAAAATTGCCAAACCTTGATCAAGGTCACTGTGGTCGAGAGAAATACACAAAAGATTAAAAGTTTTTTTTTTTTTTTATATATGTTACCAATAAGGAAGTACAGAAAATACTTCCAGACAGCACTTAAAGTCACTATAAATTCAAACTTGAAACATTACTACCTAAATTTTAGTTTCTCGAAAAGTAAATTGTCCCCGCAGGATATATATTATAAGAAGAAAAGACAAATAAAAAGAAGTCGATTTCGAGTTATTAGAGGTGAATAATTCTTCTACTCTATGCACTTTGGTGCTATCAAAATGTATTTTCTATATGGCAAGGTATTTTCAAAGAACATCTGCTTCCAAGCAAATTCAGTCTCGGCTGATGGCTTTAGGCCCCTAAAATTTTGGAGGCCCCATTTTTTACTAGTATAGTAATACTTTTATAAGTTACCTTTATTTATTTTTTTAAAATTTGAATAGTTTAAAGTAAAACGTATAATTTATAATTAAAAAAAACTTTGATTTGTTAGTAAAGTTAACCATTAAGATTTGAATAATTCGAAAGTGTGAAATATCTTTGATTTATCATTTTTTTAGAAAAAAAAATTGATAATAAGAATCTAAAAAAAGCCTCAACATCGATAAAATATAATAGTCACTTTGATATTGATAGTTTCAACTTAATTTTCAATTAAAAGTGTTAAAGAAAATACTACAAGTAGAAGAAAATACTTTAATCAATATACTCGATCAAAAAACAAGACCTGATTTTTTCCTAAATACCTATATTACTCATGGAATGATATTCCTATAACAATTATATGTGCGGAAAAAAGTTTTTCTAAATTAAAATTGATAAAATTTACCTAAGATTAACGTCTTAATGGAGATTAAAAAGATTAGTGGTATGATAGGTTGAAAAGAACTAATAGAATAAGTAATAATTTTATTAGTAACTTCGCATTTCAAGAAGTTAGGAAAATAGACTTCAAATGAAAATATTTTAGTAAAATATAATTAAGCCTCTTATAAAGATTTGACTTTAGGCCACCAATAATGTTGAGCAGCCCCTGCAAGCAATATCTATCGTCAATTGGAAAAGTTAAACGATAAGATTAAAGATTAAGAGTGGCAAAATTAGAGAACGAAAATTTTATTTAAAAAAAAAAAAACTAAAAGCAACGCTTAGAGGAACCCCACAACAGCTAGATAGAGCTGCCTTGATATAAAGCTATGATGTTTTTATTAAAGGTAGAAGAAAAAAAGATATATATTCATTTTGCCTTTATCCGAGCATGGAGAAGGTATCCACTTGACAACATTCTTCGCCATTGCTTCCAAATCCAAAGTTACTTGCGTTATCCTTTAGTTTCGAAAGTTTCACTTGTTAGAAAATTGCCACGTGTCTCTCACATGTGAATATCTAAACTCAACTTTGAACCTCAAAAATTATATACTTACTACTATCTAGCTAGGGTTTTAAAAGCAGGCAAAATTACATGCATGGGCATGCACGCACGTAGCAATCCCAACGTCTCATTCAACGACCCCATTGAAAATTTCCAAGATCCTAACTACTTGAACAAACAACGGGCACGCCTGCACATATTATTTATTGCTGAATTTTAATTAGTTAAGCTGCGACTTCACATCAATTTATTTACTACTATTACTATTATATTGGGGTAGATAAAATTATTCCCCTAAGGGTTACTCTCGAGTGACAAACAGTTTTTGTAAATCAACTTTTCATCTTATTCTTCTTACAGAGTTTGTGATTCTCGAAAAAAATTTATGTACTTGACCCATAAAAAAGATCAGGTTAACACGTGAAAAGCATAATAAAAGTATAATATAATTAAATGATTAAAAGTGTTCCATTTTTAATAGTCCTGTATATATGTGTTCCCATATAGTTGTTACTAAGATATACAACTCAAAATCATAGTATTAACTACGAGTTTAAGTCTCAAAAGTTTTTCATTAATTTAGAAATTAATCCAAACAAACTTAATCGAGCATGTGATGAGCCTAATATGATGATAATGATGGAATACAAGTATACAACGGAAGCAAATAACCAGTATCACTTACATGTAATATAGACAATACATAATACTAAATTTTAATCAAATATAAAATCAATATTTATCTCTTGAAGTCCGTAATCATGAAACGAGGCCTCAACCATAAACAAAAACTTTCCACGCAAGATCATCCTCTGGTTTCATGATCTTCTGCCATGTTACATGAATAATACCTGAAATTTACAAAACTCATATGGACGAATTTTTCTTAGAAAAAATGTGTAGGAAACATGTAGCCTCCTTCATGGAATAAAACCATTTATATAGCTTTAGGGTTTAAAATCATTTTCCAACCCTGCTAGTTCTTACTTTTTCCACCAAGAAATCGGGTTTCATTTAATACATAATTATTCACGAAATTTAATGAACGTGCCTTCCAATTATGAGCTTAATTCAAAATATTAAAATTAATCATAGCATAATAAGTTACGAATAATTCCATTAAAAAAATCGTTAGTGCATTCCTCAATTCAATTTTGAATTTCTTCCATTAAACCTTGTTTAACTCCCCATGTCAAATATAGATACCAATCAAATAAATTAAATTACAGACATTTTCTTTAATTCATTGATTAATATTTTAGACTTTCACTTAACTTTTCGTGTGACAGCTATAAAATCTACTTATAGGTTTTACATATGAAAACTTATTAGCTTTCATAAAGGTGTATCTTCAATCTCTAAATCAAGACATGAATTCTATCAACTAACTATTACTTCGTCAACTTTTAATATTATCATCTAATTTAATCTGACATATGATTTACTCACAAAAGAATTTTTCCGTTTAATTAATTAAAATAATAAATAATACATACAACTAATAATAATTATATCAAATTACAAGTATATTTAATGGATTAGAGACTTTATTTTATTAAGTTGATATAAAATACTTATTCTACTTAGTCAGTTTGATATATACAAAATATACTAGCATAAAAATTGATCAGAATTATACAATTTCTATAATCAAGATAAATTATATTTAACCTTGTGATATAATCATTCTGATGGATTTTCCAATTCTTTCTTAGAGAACATAATCTTTATAACTTATAAATCATTCTGATGGATTTTCCAATTCTATCTTAGAGAACTTAATCTTTATAACTTATAAGACTGATGATTTAATCTATTACGTATAAGTTAAACTTTATATACTAAATCATCTTACTCTATTAGTAAATAGACAATAATGTATGATAAATTTAGATCTTTCTTAAAATTAAATAAATAATTATTTCATAATAAAATACTATATCTAAATACATGGTTAATAGTATATATACCAATAGATAATAACTAAGAAGCTTGCATATATGACTTGTGTATTGAAGTGTATGACCATCCCATCTAAAGATTAATATTTTAGGAAAATATATTTTTATTTACTTAATTATGTCTTCGGCACACTCCCCTCGCGTGCGGGATATTCTTCTTTATGAGTCAAGTACATAAAAATTGTTTTTGATAATGAATTGCTGGAGACTCAAACCCAAAACTTCTGTTGATACCATATAGTTGAAATATGTAACTATTTCACCTGAATGCTTAAATTGTTAGAAAAAGTATATTTTTATTTTTTTAATTATGTCTTTAACACTATTTAGTTAATAAATATCGTATTTTTATAATATGTGGATGAATCTTGAAACATTGTATCCACTAATAAGTAACTTGATTTCCTTTACAACACTAGTAATAATTATAGATGTATCCACAATAATGATGCCCTAAGTTCCTTGCTACATGGTTCAAATGTCCACAAAATACTACCATCTCATTTTCCTGTAGCCATAATATTTAGAAGAGACAAAGAAAAAGGAGAATAATTGAAAAAACGTCCAACCTAGAAAGTATCCAACCCATCGAGGGAATAAAAGCCAAGATCACAATAAAGATCCAAGAACACAATAAAGATAGCGATTTTCTTTAAGGTACAAAGAAGAGAAAATAAAGAGAAAAAACAAGCAACAAGTAGCCCTAGTATTGTTACGTCTCTCTGACCCCAAATAACATTTTAATTGACAAGTCCATTGCCATGCTTGAGATGGAACTCATTAACTTCTCTCCTTTTAAGTCAAGAAACCAACCACCTAAAACTTAATTGTACTTAATTACTAGTATATAGTATTGAGAGATGAATTATTATTAGCCATATAAATCGTTGTCAATTAATTTCATTATAATTGTGTTTGTTTGCAAATCAGCAGCTTGATAAAAAATAATTATGTCAGAATCATGCTTGCTAATTTATGCCGACCATGTTAGAAAAGTTAGTTTATTTGGTGTTTCTATTCATAATTATTAATTTGAACCATTCTCTTTAAGTTTCATTAACAAATTCTGGGCAGGTTTATTAGCTATTCATCATGAAATCGACATTACTTTGTTGCCGTGCCGTCATTATCTAATCTGTCTGTCAATTAAAAAATGAAAAAGAAAAATTATGCGCTTCCACAACGTAACGCAGCCATAGACTATTATTTGAGCGTTTAATTTTTATCATATAATAAAACTAGTCCTAAATGTTTGCGTACGTTTGTTGCAGTTTCAGAGTGTGCTTACATTTGAATTTGATAGCCAGCAAATAGATTAAGAATTTTTTTTAATAAAACTTTTCTACTGCGTAAGCTTTCAAAATGCAAGTGTGCCAATTGTAATGGTAAACAAATTAGCACGCTTTGAAATTGAAAAATCGTGAAACGGCTAGCTATATTTTGTTGATTGTTGGCGGCCATAACTCTACTCTTCTTAGAGAGTCAACCAATATTTTTGTTTTTATGCCAATTCACACACTAATAGATCTATATTATGTACCATCTTACTTCATTTTACATTTTAACTTCAAGCGTTTAGATGTTTTTGCATGACTTTTATGGGTAAAGTTAAAATTTTCTTGAAGTTGATTTTTGACCTAATTGGCTAATAACCTTAACTTGAATAACTTGTAAGAAACGACTTATCAAGAGGATTTGATTATAGTATTGAATTCACATATGAACAAAGTTGACACAATCTATTTTGTCAAATCGACTCTCCTCTTCGTGTAAGCTTGCTCAACGTCATTGATATGTCTAATGGGAGAAACTCACCATTTCTTTCCTCGAGACATAATATTATCAAATCATTACAAGTATGATTTTGCTAATTATAATATGTAATTTTAGATGATATAAATATACTATTCAATATAAGGAAAAAGTCTCGGTGTCCAAATCCCTTCGAAATCCAAAATATCCAAAGAAAAGAAAATGGGACTCCACACAGGAGATGGAATGTCACCACATCATACAATTAAATAATTAGAAGCGTATATTATCTCTAATCCGAGCTACAAAAATAGCTTATTTTGAGAAATATTTTTTTAAAAGTATTTTTCTCAAAAATACTTCTAGTTTGGTCTATTAATTTGAAAAACACTTCTGAGTAACAATTAATATTTGGCCAATCTTTTAAAAACTGTTTCTAAGTGTATTTTTCTCAAAAATACTTTTCAAAAAAGTATTTTTATAGAAGAACTATTTTTTTTTTTTTGTTTTTCCAAAGCTGCTTCTACTTCTCTTCAAAAGTACATTTTTTTCCTTCCAAAAAATTGGCCAAACATCTCAATTTTAAAATAAAAAAAGAAACTTTTGACTAAAAAAGGTATTTTTGACCAAAAAATATTTTGCAAAACAGGCTATGAAACTAACTTACATTTGTAGAAAAGAATTTTCATATTAAAGATGTGTTGCATATTTCAGACTTTTGCAGTAGAGGGAGAAGGGACACGTGGGTCCCAGAGGGTTGACATGAGTGGTCGACATCACTTGTTTAGATCCTCGTCATCTCTCAACTTATCCTTTGTTGGTTGTTGTTGTTTTTCTTCTTCAATCCTTTTACTAGAGAGAGATAACTTATGGTGAGGGCAATCTAAATTATTATGTGGAATAAGCAAGCTCATTTTTCTGGCCCTGCCTCGGCGGCACGGATCCGGACTCTCTTTTCAACTTGGCGATTAGACGTTTAATTACTTATATAAATCATACTGTGAAATTTTAATTTTCTATGTATGAAGGAGAATCTGTTACTAATCTCTTACAATTGATAAATCAAAATCGGACGTCCCAATTAATAAATTTATGATGGTTTTACCTTGTTATTAATCCCATATTCGATTCCCCTTTGGTCCTTTTTTGTTAGAGATATTGCTTATTTGGTGCCTCGAACCCACTACTCTGAAATTATAAGTAAGGGTGCTAACCATCAGAGCAACCCATGATTGAAACCTACTGTATACTAATATTTGTGCAAATTAAAATTTTCTTTTCCTCTTTGGCCTAGTTGTTCCCTCTTTCCATTTTCTTAATTTTTTTTGTTTTCATTTTTGTATTTTTACTCTATATACGGAGTATTATTTAATTAAATTAAAAAAGTATATTAGCTTAAGTTTTTGTTTTAAATCTCAAAATATTTATTTGAATATGCTTTTGATATCATTTTTTATTTTTATCTAGTTAATATTATTTTTTCCTTGATATCAAATCAAGAATCAAATATTTTCATTTTGACTATCACATATTTATTTATACACCAAAAGAATCTTGTATAGTAAACTGAATTAATTCAAAATAACGTGATGCGACTAGATGCACACCCTAATTTAACCTCCTGAATCCGCCTCTGTTACAAGGGAGAATTCATCCAAAGACAAATTGAGCCATCGAACCATACCATGGCCATTATCATCACAGCTGAAAATCATTACTACTGGTAACTGAATAAGATGAATAGGATATTTTGAACCATTTATGAGGTTGTTAATAAAACAGCTCATATTTGAGGGAGCCTTATACGATTCTTAAATATTATTGATCTTTTACTATGTTTCTAAATTGGTAGTATGAATTATTTCTGGTTTTGCTTATTCAAAATTTATTAAGCTAGTATCTCGAATAAAGATTTGTGGGTAAATTATCTAATCAAAATTTAGGTTTAGATGTGAATTTTAAATGAACATTTCTTCATTAATTCAATATCTTTTCAGTTCTATTCAAATACTATAATCAAATTACATTTTAAAATTCATCCAAACAAATGAATAGTGAGTGTAACGTAAAAGGATACTCCCTCCGTTTCAATTTATGTGAACCCATTTGACTGGGCATGAAGTTTAAGAAAAGAGAGAAGACTTTTGAACTTGTGGTGTAAAATGAGACACATATATTTTGTGTGGCTATAAATTATTGTATAAAAGTAAATTATTTCCAAATAAAGTAAGGGTCATTCTTTTTAGTACGGACCAAAAAGAAAACAGGTTCACATAAATTAAAACGAAGTAAGAAAGTAGGACAATAAATGAAGGCAAGTAAAAACAAAATTGGAGTAACAGAAGTTGTGCAATTTGCTGAATCAGCCCCTTTGACCTTTGACCCTAAAATTCGCTACCTGAATTTTGTTACAAGGCATAAAACATGTCATCCACCCACGTGACCTTCACCTTCTATTATGCCTTTGTTCGTAGTATTGACGCGCTGCTTTCTGGAACAGCACATACTGCTCTAAATTCAAAAAAAAATATATTAACCGAAGTTAGTTGCATAATCACAACAAAATTAACCGCTTCTAAAACAAACCCCGTAGAAATTAGAACCAACAAACAGAACAACAAAGTAACTGCCCCTTTTTCCTTCCCTAATTGGTTCTTAAACATTATATGAATGAAAACTCGAGCTTCTTATTCATTCTTAGACAATGTAATAACTTCTTATTGACGTTGTGTAAGAAAATCACGAGCAAAGAAGATCTAATTCCTTTAATTTTTGGCTCTTTGAGTAACTAGTATCGAAGAATTTGATAAAAATCGAACCTCATACTTAATGAATAAAAGATTCTAGTAATAAAGGTAAATTAATACGCTCTATGTTGCGCCCACCCTATTCTACTTTTTTTCTTTTAATAATTTGCGCGGAAAACAAACAAGTCTGCTAAAAATTAAACATCAGAATTGCAATATAGTATATAGCAATACGTAGAAGATTACAGTAATACGAGTGAGTTTTGATTTTTATTGTGATATTTCTTCTATAATTACTTTTCACCTTTATCTGGCTTTCTTACGTATGCATACAGGGAGGGGAAAAAAAAAAGCAAGCGTCGTCGAGGACGGGCGTGAGGATCTGGTCAGCGCCGTTTGACCAACTTTTCATTTCTTATCTTTAAAACTACAGACAAGTGTAAAGGGTATTTAGGTCATTTCGTAATACTAGGCCTGGGTCCTGAGTTATATATATACGGAGCATTCGGCTTTTGTCGTCGTTGGTGTTGTATTACCCTTCTTTCAATTCACTTCTCTTTACATAAAGGAGTCTCAGCTCTCTGTGTCTGAGTATAAAGGAAGAAAAAGGAATGAGAACAAGGAGAGGGGTCTGTTATCCGAAAGTAAATATGTGTATTGAAAACAGACTAGTTGTGAAGAGAAGGAGAGATATTTCCGGCATCGGAGAACATATGGGTCGTCGGAAAAGATCTAAACTTTCACCGGAGTTCACTGCTCATAAACCTGACCTCTTTGATTGTTTGCCTGATGATCTCCTTATCTCTATTCTCTGCAAACTCAGTTCCTCTGCTGCTTCTCCCGCTGATTTCGTCAACGTTTTGATTACGTATGTTCTCAAAATCCACTATTTTCCATTTTTTTCCTTTATTTGATTTTGTTGCTAAAACTAAAAATCTCATCCTCAAACATAAAAAGGTGACCTTTTTTTTGGGTAATATTGTGTGGATAGATGAACTAATGGTTATGGTTTGATATGCAGTTGCAAAAGACTAAATGGGTTAGGCTATAATTCGCTTGTATTATCAAAAGCCTCTCCGAAAATGTTAGCCGTGAAAGCTCAGAACTGGTCGGAATCTGCTCACCGGTTTCTTAAACAATGCGCCGACGCCGGAAATGTTGAAGCTTGTTACACCCTTGGCATGGTTAGTATTTTTATTTCTATATCTCAACATGAATATAGCATAAATGTTATGAAAAAAAAATTTCTTTGATTTTTTGAGATATAAAATATTAATTTTAAAGTAGGAAGTCTAATAATTGTGATATTTTATTGTTGGACACAGATTCGATTCTACTGCTTACAAAATCGAGGAAGCGGAGCGTCGTTGATGGCGAAGGCGGCGATTAGCTCTCACGCGCCATCGCTTTACTCTCTTGCCGTTATCCAGTTCAACGGCAGCGGCGGTTCAAAGAACGACAAGGACCTACGCGCTGGAGTTGCACTGTGTGCACGCGCTGCCTTCTTGGGGCACATCGATGCTTTGAGAGAGCTTGGCCACTGCCTTCAAGATGGCTACGGCGTGAAGCAAAACATCGCCGAGGGTCGGCGATTCCTCGTCCAAGCCAACGCGCGTGAGCTTGCCGCTGTGTTGTCCACAACGCCTTCAGCTCTAACCTCCGGCGGCTGGCTAACGTGGAACCCGTTGCCTCATCACCGCCACCCCGTGGCAGGCACCGGGTGCCCGTTACTGAGTGATTTTGGATGTAATGTTCCTGCTCCGGAATCTCACCCAGCAAATCTGTTTTTGACGGAGTGGTTTTCTTCAGAGGGTGGAGTTCCGGGTTCGGGGCTTCGACTTTGTTCTCATGTGGGTTGTGGAAGACCCGAAACTAGGAGACACGAATTCCGGCGATGCTCTGTTTGCGGTACTGTAAACTATTGCTCACGCGCTTGTCAGGCGCTTGATTGGAAGATGCGTCACAAGGCAGAGTGCACGCCGGTGGAGAGGTGGATTGATGAAGACGGAGAAAATGATGGTAACGTTAACGGCGAAAATGGTTTTGGCAACGGCGACGATGATGATCAGATTATGATGGAGAGTTAACGGCGACGGTAACAGTGTGGTTGACTGTGAATGTGACGGCAACGGCACGTGAGTCTTTGGAAAATTAACCGGGAAGTAAAAAGTCAAAAAGAAAGCAAGCCAAATACTGGCCATTTTTGGGGAGTATAATTGAAAATATTTATGGTCTGTATTTTTGTATAGACCAAGTAAAAAAAGAATTGGATGTATTGAACAGAAGGAGAAAAGAAAAGGAGAGAAAAGAACAATATCTTGTAGGTCTTTTTAGAATTTTTCTTTTTAAATTCATTTGTTAATTTAGATACTGTTAGTAAATTTTCTGGAAAAGTATTAGAGATCAATGCCATTTTCTGAGATTTATGTGATGGATATGATGATGATGCCTAGCCTCCCGACCAAATGATTATTCTGTTCTTTAAGTTTCTCTTTAGAACTTTTAATTTACAGTATGTATTTTCTTATCACATGAAATATAGGTCACTGGGGCCATTACAATAGCTGTTGATTTACTTTCAAGAAATATATAATACTATCATGTTAAAAAGAGTAGGGTTGGGGGAAAGAAGAAAATTAGGTAACGAGAGATGTGCTTAAGAACCAACTACAATATTGTACTGTAGTAGTTAAAATCTGTCTTATAGCCTGTTTGGCCAAGCTTTTAAAATCAGTTTATTTTGAGAAAGCTTTTAAAATCAGTTTATTTTGAGAAGTATTTTTTTCAAAAGTACTTTTAACAAAAATACTTTTGGTAAGAAATAATTTGTGTTTGGCTAATTAATTAGAAAAGCACTTTTGAGCAGTAATTAGTATTTGACCAAACTTTTAAAAATTGCTTGTAAGTGTATTTTTCTCAAAAGTGCTTCTCAGAAAAGTATTTTTGGAAAGAAGCTACTTTTTTCTGCTTCTCCTCAAAATAACTTTTTTTCCTTCCAAAAACTTGGCCAAACACCTCAATTTTTTGACCAAAAGTACTTTTAACAAAAAAAAAAAGGAGCACTTTTGGCCTAAAAAAAAGCATTGCCAAACAGGCTATTAGCTACTTTAGGTTAAAGGCTAAAAATTGGAAAAAGGTCGTGAAAAACTTAAATATGAAAGAAGAAAGCAAAACTCAAATTTGAATAAAGGGTTTTCTTTCTTCAAGTAAGCGGAGGTTCTATACATTCTATTCTAAGGGCTCCGCATAGCGGAAACCCAGCAGAAATGCTATATAAAGCTTCAAACATGATTCAATGCGTATAAATACTATGGTTGTATAAAAGAGATTGAACTGTGAAAGGTTTCACTTGTTATGGAGTACAATAGAATTATATAAATAGGTCTGTTAACAATTTCAAATATAGAGACCTATCTAGATAAACTATGTGTATTTATCCTTATCATGCCACTTCAAGATGGGCTCAATCTCCTTAAGGCCAATCGTGTGAATGCATTGTCCAAATGGTCGTTTAGGTAGTGCCTTTGTCAAAGCAGTAGCAAGTTGATTCCCAGTAGGTATGTGACTCACTGAAAGCTCATTTCTTTTCACTTGATCACGGACAAAGTGGAAATCAATGGCCACAGGCTTCATCCGACTGTGAAAGACTGGATTTCGACTTAAATAGGTAGCACCAATGTTGTCACATAGTACCTTAGGAGGGTTGGACATAGAAACATGCAATTCCTTCGGTAAGTTTGTGATCTAATTAAGCTCAGCTACAACAGAAGCAACATCCCTATATTCTTCTTCAGTAGATGATCTAACAACAATGCGTTGCTTTTTTTGGAGCACTAACTTATTGGATTATTGCCAAGAAGTATAACATATGCAGAAGTTGAGTGCCTGGTGTCTGGTAGGCCACCCCAATCAACATATGAGTAAGCTAGCAACTTGAAAGAACTGGTGGGCATAAAGTGAAGACCATAAGTAACGGTACCCTTCAAGTAGCGTAGAAGTCTCTTGGCTGCTTGCCGATGTTTTAGGCTTGGTCTATGCTGAAACTGAGCAAGTTTGTTCACTGCAAAACATATATCTGGACAAGTCAATGTTAGATATTGTAAGGAACCAATAATTTGCATGTATAACTTGGCATCTGCAGATGATGATCCACCATCAAGTGAAAGATGTTCATTGGTTGACATCGAAATGCTAACGCTGTTCGCATCTAGTATGCCGAATCTTCTCGGAAGATCAGCGATGAAGCTGCTTTGGGTGAGAACCAAGCCATGATCATGCTGCAAGGCTTCAATACCAAGGAAAAAATATAAAAAACCAAGGTCTTTAATGGAAAATTTGTCACCTAGTAGTTTGATGGTAGTTTGGACATGAGAAAAGTTAGAACCAGTGACGACGATATCATCGACATAGACCATCACAAAAAGTAATGAGCTAGTAACACATTTCAGGAATAAAGAGTCATCAGATTTAGCCCTTTGAAAATCACATGACATAAAGTATTGTTTGAGCTCGTTATACCATGCCCTAGGTGCTTGAAGAAGTCCATATATTAACTTATGAAGCTTGCATACATGTTGTAAAAATTTATGATCCCGAAAATCGGATGATTGATTCATGTAAACAACTTCATGAAGTGTACCCATTGTTTACATCTAATTGTCGCAAGGTCCATTTGAACGGCACCGTGAGTGCAAGAATCAAAGGTATTGTAGTATGTTTGATCATAGGACTAAAAGTGGAATGAAAGTCTACACCAGGTCATTGATGAAAACCCTTTGCAACTAATCTCACTTTGTAGCGATCCACAGACCCATCAGGTTTATGCTTGACACGATAAACTCACTTACAACCAACTACATTTTGAGATGGAGATGGGGGAGCCAAAGTTCAAGTGGAATTCCTCGTAAGGGTAGTAAATTCATCCTTCATGTTTTTTTTTCATTTAGGATACTTGTTTGCTTGGGAAAAAGTTGTCGGAGCAAGAAGATGCAGTTTGGTGGAAGAGATAGCAAGATAGTCAAAAACAACTTTTGGTTTGAAGATATCGTTCTGGGATCTGGTGACCATAGAGTGAGTTGAAGCAGGTGACAAAGGTTGTGGTGGAGGCAGAGGATACTATGCAACAAGAGACATAGTGCTGGGCATGCCTAAAGTAGAGGGTGAGGTTGGATTAGCTAAGGTAATTACAGCGGTACTGGATGACAAGTCATCTACAGTAGTTGGAGTTTCAGTGATCTCTTGAGTAGTCCTTGGGACAACCAGGTTGATTGCTTGAGGTATAGGAGATGAAATCCATGATTCATTGGTACAAAGTTGGAAAACTGAGGAGGAGGAAGCTACTGGATAGTGCCAAGACTCCAAGTTGGAGGTTGAAGCATGATCAAGTGAAGAGAAGTTCAACTTGAATAGAAATATATGTTCGACAAAGACAACATGTCGGGAGAATTTTTTTTGTTTTGAGGTAGAGATATCTAAGCAAGACAAACTGTTAGTGACAAAGGAGTACCCAATAAAGACACAAAGTTTTAATTTTGTATCAAGTTTGGAGCTAGAATAAGGTTTAAGCCAAGGATAGCAAAAACAACCAAAAACCCGGAGCTTGCGATGATTAGGTGAGGTATTGAATAAACACTAAAATGGTTATATTAAGTTGAGAAGAGGAGTTGGTAGCCGATTAATGAGGAATACTACAGTTTGAAATGCAATGGACCAAAATTTGAGTGGTACCAAGGCATGATGAAGTAAGGTCAGGGCAGTGTTAACGACATGTCTATGTTTTCTTTTAGCAGTTCCAACTATTTGAGGAGTATATGGAGGACTCATGAGATGTTGAATACCCATTTCCAGTAAGAGAGACTTAAGAGCAATGTATTCACCTCCTTCATCTGTGTATAGTGTCTTGATTGATGCACTAAACTGATTATGAATCATTCGAGTGAAGTTGATAAAAAATACTTTTAAAATCTAATTTATTTTTGAGTGGGAGCAACCAAGTATACTTTGTATAGTGACCAACAAATATAACATAGAATCGAAAGTTGTCAAAAGACAGAATTGGAGATGGACCCCAAATAATTTAGAACTAGAAATAACATCAAATGATTTAGCACTAGAAATAAAGTTGTCACCAAATTGTAAATGATGGCTTTTATTACATGGACATGAATTGCAAAAAGTAAAAGGATCATTATTTGACACTGGAATCTTGAATGAGGACACACATGCTTTGGTAATACGAGGTTGAGGGTCACCAAGACGAGCATGCCAAAGGTGCAGGGACGGTGATGCTTGAGTAGCAAAGTTTGCTTGTGGTTAAGGGGGTGAGATACTGGTTGGTGGCCATTCGTAGAGATCACATTTACTTCGATATTGCAGAAGACATACCCCTATGCTCAAATCCTTCACAACAAAAGAGTTAGGAAAACATTCAATGGATGTTAGATTTTGATGACAAAACTGAGCAACATAAATTAGTTTCTTCTTTATATAAGGGGAACAAATAACATTATGTAACTTAAACGAATTATTGGATGAAGAAAGTATAATGTGACCAATATGAGTAATCGAAATAGTTTTACCATCTCCAACAATTATTTTATCAGTGCCAGGGAATTCAGCTACGGCTTGTGGAGATTGTGAATTATTTGTGATATGGTGTGATGCTCCAGAGTTAACAATCCAATTATTTGCGGGATTAGATGCATAGGATATGCGATTAGTGAAGTTGGCTTGAGCCTCAAGTGCACTATGTGATTTTGAGCGACAAACTTTTGCGATGTGCCCAAATTTGTCACATAATTGGCACTGGACTCTTTGCTGGCTGCTACGGAATTTGGGGGGAAGGAGTTGGTGCGTTGGTTGGTTGAGGTGTTCAGAATGGAACCCCTGCTATTGTTGCTTGGATTATAGTTCCTGAATTTTGAGTTAGTGTTGGCAGATTTTTTATGAAATTGGGCAGTGATGATTGGGTTTTCAAGCTTTGGATCAGAGAGTTTTATAAACATCTCATACACAAGCAATTTGTCATAGAGTTCTTCAAACGATATTGGGTTATCTCGAGCCCTTATAGCAGTAGATAGTTCTTTGTACTCAGATACTAGACCACTCAGGATTTTGATGACAAGTTCCTCATTTGAGAGAGGTGAGCCACTAGATGCAAGATTATCCAAAATGAATTTAATATCCTTCATGTACTCACTAATAGAGCGTGAGTCTTGTTTGACATTAGCAAGAGTGTCATGCAGACTGAAGTTACATAGCTGTGATTTGTTGGCATAAGTGGTTTGAAGAATTTTCCAAGCGTGTTTGGCAGTGGCAGCACGTGCAATAACATAAGAGATTGTAGGATCGTCTGACATTACTAAAAAATTAGGTTTTAGCGACGGACAAATTCTGTATCTAAATCTGTTGCTAATCTCATTTGGCGACAGATTATCAAGAAATTTTGCTAACTACGAGCGATTTAGAGACGAAGTTCGTAGCTAATTCTAAATCTTTTTAGTAGTGAGGCCATGATAGCATTGCAGACAAGGCTATCCTGTCTTTGCCAAAGCTTGAATGCGGGGGTTAGAATATTCATTGTTTGCTCCATCTTGGATATGTACAAACGGAGGGCAAAGTGACCCATCCACATTCCCAAGAAGATCATAAGTAAAGAGAAGAGTTATGACTTGTGATTTTCAAGTAGAGTAGTTGGAACTCCCTTGCATTTTCAAGGGGAGTTGGGAGGCTAGATTGAATGAAATTAGTTGGGAAGGCGGAGCAATGTTCCCATGACTTATTGTGATAGTGGGGGAAGTAAACGAGGTGGCTGAAGAGTGGGTATGAGAATCACCCATTCTGAAAAAAAGGAGCAACTCGTATGTGTTTTTAGGAGGTTCTTGATACCATATAAGAGAAGAGAATGAATTGTGAAAGGTTTCATTTGTTATTGAGTACAACATAGGTACAATAGCAGTAGATGAGGAAGTTTGTTATACATAGGAGAATTCTAAAGATTAGGAAAAATACAATCTGTTACAATTTCAAATGCATAGACCTATCTAAATAAACAGTGTATTTATCCTTATCAGGTTGTTAGTCTTTTGAAAACTTAATTACTTAAGTATGTCTAAGAAACTCAAAGCAATTGAAGGCGAAATGCATTTTTGTTTGATGGGTACCATACTACAATACTTAATACTTCCTCCATTTCATTTTGCTTGGCATGATTAGAGGGACTTAATTGCCTGTGTAAATTTAGACAAAGATTATTCAAATAAAATGTTTATATTTAGAATTATATAAAAAATGGAGATGGTACAAACAAACTGGAATGGTACCAAGATTATGGCCTAGCGGTCAATAAAGTAAGTTATAAATTGAGAATATCTCAGATTCAAATATCAAAGAGGCAAAAATATTAGATGATTTTTTCTCACAATTCGCGTAAAAAAACCTTTTAGGGCAGTTTTTAAAAACAATTCTTATTAAACATTTGAAAGTATGCTAATTTCGTTACGTTTCGTACTATTATACCTAGTGTATTGGTCAAAATCTGACCGCTACGGTAGATCCAACCGACATTCCGTCCAAGCGGCGAGGTAGTGAAAGACGACATGGTTTATTTTAAATACTCACAATACCCGCCAAGTCAAAAAACAATGCTCAGGGGACGACAAAGGCGGACGTAGTATGAAAGAGTATCAAACCAAGCATATAGCAAAGATTCCATAACTATATATGTGGGGAAAAACCTTCTGGAAAGGGGGGCTTCTTCTCTTTCTCTCTCATCTCCCATGTAATCTTCATAGTAGAAGGAAGAAAAAAGCAATCACCAAGAGAGAATGTAAAATGTTATTCTCCATGAGTAACAAGAGGCAAAATGAAAAGCTCCAATAAGATTATTCACTTCTATTTCGTCTTGTGCATTATTTTCTAGTTATCTCATAGATTTTGAGTTTATCATGTTTGACTAAGATTTGACTAAGATTTACCTCTTTATCTTCTTTAATTGATTTAATAAAAAAAGTTTTAATATCTTTTGGGTCAAACACCCAAAAAAACATCAATTTGTACTACTCGAGTACTTAGGAAAGCTTTATGCCACTTGTTTTAGTTTACATTCAAATCCTGGTGTTCATACTGAAAGTAGCAGAGAAGGTTTTTAAAAAAAGTAAGATGGCTAAGAAGAAAGTAAAAGGGATCCAAAGCCCTTTATCTTTTTTTTGTATAAGTCTATGAATTAGAAGCGGTGGGTATTGCCTTGTGTCGCAATGTTCTACTTCTTCTCTCTTTTTCTCCTTTGGCCTTTTTGTGTTTGGTCAAATAATATCAGACTAGGAGATTGACCAACAAATAAGATAATACGAAAAAAAACCACTAGAAAGCAAATTGGAGTCCGGAACTAAAATGTGATTTTTTTGAATTCAAAGTACACAAATAGGTGGTAAAAAAAAATTATATTTTTATATATAGCGCCACAATACCTGGCGTTATACATTAACGGTAATGACACCGTTAATGTATAGCGCCAGGTATTGTGGCGCTATACTGTAAAAGCTGACACGACACAAGTATAGCGCCACAATACCTGGCGCTATACATACAATTTTTAAATTCCTTCCGTCTTCTTCATCGATTCATCCTCCATTTTTTTAACCTCTCCTCTCTTCTTGGTCCCCCACTCCATACCCGCTTCTGTCATCCTTTTAAAAAAGATTTGGGTCCCCCCGACACATAAAACTTGAAGAACGTAGGTCCCACATTCGAGTAGAGCTTCGTGTTTTGTTGATTCACACTTCCGGAGTCAAAATTTCAATCTTTTTGCTTTCCGAAAAGTCTAAATCGAGGTATTTCGATTTATTTTAAGTTAAAACATTTATAATAGNCGGCCCTCGGACGTTGGATCTATTAGCCCTACAGCCCCAGCATAGATCCGAGTATATATGAGACAGACAATTGCTTACGCAGACTTTCCGAGCTAGGAGAGTGGATCTATTGTGGGAGTTTTTGAGTCCTCTCCGCGTTCTACATCCCCGCGTAGTCCATTACCTGGAGGAGATGAGATTATATAGGATTATTAGGATTGGCCGGATACAGCTGGACTATGCTTTGATCACGGCCTTGATTGAGCGATGGCGACCGGAGACCACACTTTCCATTTGCCCATCGGCGAGGTCACCATCGCACTCCAGGACGCTGAGATTTTATACGGCATGTCCGCTGATGGCTTGCCAGTTTTACTGCCTGCGACCATGAGATATTATTCGTGGCAGGCATATTGGGATATGCTGCACATGATCACGGGTTTCATGCCGGAGGGCGAGGAGGTAGCGTCCGGGTCCAGTCATATACAGTTGGTCCCCATTAGAGACCACCTGGTGCAGATCCACCATACTATCACCGACGAGTCAGCGGAGGTGGATGTACAGCGATATACGAGGCTG